CAAAGAAAAATCTAATTAGTAAAGAGTCAATATAAAATATTATAACAATTTTCTTATGTAATTAAATTCAGAGAAATCGAATATATAAATAAGAAAAACTAATAATTTTTCATTTACATCATATATATTCATGTAAATTTTTCTTAAATCAAGGGTTCTTTAATTAAATTAACATATTAAAATAGAAATTAAAAATAAGACCCTAATTGTGGGGAATTCTACAAAAATATCTCAAAGTTTAAAATCAACAGAATATCTAAATCAAATTTCCAGAATATAAATTATTTTTATAATTCTTTTACGAAATTTTCGAATAATACCATAAGAACATAAAGATACGTCTCGAATCAATATAGATTTTACGACATCATTAATAAATAAATAAATATAATATCTCATAACTGATATTTTTTCTTCCGACAAATAATTCTATTAAGAAAAGAAATCTTCTTAATTCTTTGAAATAGAAATCCATTATCAATTTTATTTTATCTAAAACGAATTCTTATAATATTCACGCCACTAAGAATCTTCAATAGAAGCGAATACTGTAGTTCTTTCGTAAAGATTAGCGCCTAAGAAAATTCGAGAACCTTCTGGAGAATTTGGAGAAAATATGCCATCAATAAAGTTCATCATGCGGCCGGTGTGGTAGGTCCCGTGTAACGAACCTGTGGTTACGACTCGTAGGTTTAGAAGGTCCGGCATATCATTATATCAAAAGAATGAATTAAACTAGCCATATATCTCATATGTATGTGAGAAGTGCCTGCACTCTGGCCCGCCCAAGTGCGAGAGATCCTCCGTTACATCATAGTGCTGACTGGCGGAGCCAAAAGAACCACAAATAAAGCGGCTTGGGTGCTCCGAACGAGTCCGCACACAGCACACTTTTTCCTTCGTTCAAACCACAGCTCCGCACCAGGTGGGGGAAGGCTGAAATGCGCAACTTTGCGAGGCCAGGAACAATTATGTGCTCGTCGGCAAACCTTAAGTATCGTGCCCTCCTTGACCTGATACCGGACGTGCTTTGCAGCGGGCATGCCGCCCGAAAAGAGAGTGCTCAGCTCGTGAGCACGAAAATTTACGGAAAGCTTTGCTCTGTACACTTGCAATGACGAACCGGGGCCCTGAATTCGGTTTGGGTTTGAGTTTGTGCTTAGGGCTAAGAGATATCGCGGGGTTTAGGGTTGGAAACCTCAGAGCGTCTTTTAGAACAGGACCTAAGAAGTCACAGCCTGAAGCCGAAATCAACGACATCCCAGGTCCTTGTAAAACCTAAACCCTAATCCCTAAACCCTAAAGGCCCTAAACCTCAGTCTTTCTAGAACCTCCATGACACTCGAAACTCATTCCGACTGCAGCTGACGAAACACATCGAAATACACAGCGAAACCCGATGCGAACAGTCCCGCATAGAGAGCAAGCCTCTTCGGGGTTGCTAGAGGTGATGAGTAAAGATGTCCACTCCTGATACTTGCAATTAAGCCTAACTTCAGAAAATATCCCATACTTTGCATCTCGTTCAGCCAGCGAACTCAGGGAATGTAGGGAGGTGGTGTCTATGATCTTTAAACTTTGCCTTTAGGCCTTCAGACGTCGAGGTCTTGGCCGGTTCCGAATTCACCGAGCTAGGCACGGGACTCAAGCACTGGAAAGCAGCAGGGACACTGCTTGCTCAGTGTCGCCTTCAGTTGCGAGCAGAGAAGCACGTGCCTGCTCCTCGGAAAAGCCCATGGCGCACAAAGCCTGCAAGGCGGCACCCTCGACTTCGCCTCTGTTCTCTGATGTGTCGGCCCAGTCGTCATACCCATCCTGCCAACTCGCCGAATATGCAGCCAGCTGCAGCTCCTCCGCTCTCAGAGCGCACCGTGGCTTGGGCATCCCAGCCGGAGCTGCACCCGCGCGGCTCGCCGTGGCCCCGCCCGCACGTGCGCGTGCCTCGGCTAAGCTGACCACGGCCTGCCATGGATGGCGCCAGATGAGGCAAGGAAGCCAAAGAGGGGGCTGGGATGCGGAATCTCTTTTTTTCGCCAGGGCTATGGGCCAGAGGTTTCCCCCTTTCTCTCTCGCTCTCTCTCGCTCTCTCTCGCTCTCTCCTGACTTGCTCTCTCCTCTCTCGCTCGCTCGCTCGCTCGCTCGCTCGCTCTCTCTTGCTCTTTCTTTCTTTCTTTCTTACCCCGGGCATAGGGGGCGGGTCAGACCCCCCCGCCTATTGGGCCCCCATATGTTATGGGGCTTTCCGGGGTTTTTCTTGGAAAGGTTGTTCGAGCACCGGGTTGTTTTCACAACATGACACAGATATATTGAAAACATGCTCTCTCTCGCTCTCTCTCTCTCTCTCTCTCTCTCTCTCTTTCTTTCTCTCTCTCTCTCTCTCTCTGTCTCTCTCTCTCTCTCTATATATATATATACAGCTATGCAGCTGTTTACTTTTTGTGCTTGCAATTATGCCATTCAGCAACGGTCGCATGACATCTCTTCGCATGGCATACACAATCTAGATTCTGGGTATATGTTGACGTCAAACCGATGCACCGTCTGATGTGCTGGTACACAGGAACCACAGGCACCCACCGACAGATAGATTGCATGTATACCAATACATTGTCAGACGACACACATGTATGTATGTGTATTTGTATGTATGTGTGTATGTATGTATGTATGTATGTATATATATATATACATAGTATGTATGTACGTATGTATGTATGGATAGACAAAGAGTGCACACAACACACATACATGTATAAGTACTCCAACACATACATACGGTAAATATGTACACTTGCGTGTTTCTGCCTGTATGTTTCGCATTAATGCAGACATGGGTGTGAGCGTGGGTCGACGCACGCTTACCCACTTGCACAAAGAGAAGCAAAAACACACAACCCTAAACCCTAAAACCCTCTCTCTCTCTCTCTCTCTCTCTCAGGCACTCGAACCCTAAAACCCTAAACCACTGAGCAGCAGCTCAAGGGCACATGGCCTGGTCCGGGGCGAACATAAACACAAGGCTCAGGCGGCCGCCTGCTGCGCTGGGCATCTCCTGGCTCTTATGAAAAACAGTTTGGTGTTGTGTGTGTGTGTTTTTAAAAAGGCTCCTTCTTGGGTCTTATTATGGGGTTTAGACGTTTTTTTGGAATCTTTTTACAGTGTCTTGCGGAGGTTTGATTCTCATCTTTTTGTCAGCCTTTAAACTGATGTTGCGGTTTATACACAGGTTTTGTAGGATGCTAACGAACGTAGCACAACAGGGTTTCCCTCTCATTGATGGTAAGGAACTTTAAACGAATTGGTAGTATACTTCAAACCTAGCCGAAATTATTAGTTGAAAGTATTTCCTTTCAGTTTTGATATAAATCCTAAACCCTAAACCCTCAAAGGAACTTAACCAGAACCCAGTCTCCGGCACGCCGTGGCTTTGCGTGCCGAAGAGGATGAGGTCTCCATCCTCAAAAGATTCGCGGTTTAGGGCTTCTGATGTGCCGGGTATGCCTTATTGATATTTCATACGGCTCATAAGCAGAAGATTCCTAATCGATGCTGAGGGGGTCGAAGTCTTCAGGTCCGAACGGGTGGAGTTTAGGGGCCAGCCCCTGAAATCGCTTTCTAAGTCCCTTACAGTTTAGGCTACCAGGCTCAAGTGCAACGAGCTTTCGCCGGTTTAGGTTGGGATTTCAGGAATCGGAGCCTCCATGAGAACTTGAGCCCGGTCCACTGAGAGGACTCGCGGGGCCCCCAAGGAGATGAGCAAGGTCCAGTTGTCGTGGCGATGTGGAGAAACTCGCGACAGCGCATCGGGATACCAGTTCATCTTGATCGTATACCCTGCCTGGCGGACGAACGCCGAAACACTGCGTAAGAGAGGCCCTAAACTCGAGTGAGTCTGAAACCCGAACACCCTAACACCCCAAGTTTCTGGCACGCAGACTTAAACGATCCAGGTTAGGTTCACAGGTGGGCCAGTCTTGCAGCCATCAACCTTGTATCAAGACCTCAAAGCCCGAACAACACTCCTGAGACTCGGTTTGCCAAATCCGATCGTCTTGATGATTTAGTCGGTTTAGGGTTTAGGGTCCCTAAATCGTATTTGGGATCCTATGATTTAGGCTTGGAGGGGGATTCTACCTCTCGCAACTCGGACTTTCCAGGCGTTTAAAGCATAGGGCTTGCACTGTTGTTCTTGAGTTGGGAGCTTACGGGTTGCATGCGTATGTATGGATGGTATATATATATATGTATATGTATATAATATATATATATATATATATAAACATAAGCAATTCGATGAAGAAGTAGATACAAACATAAGTAGAATATATATATATATATGTATATATATATATGTGTGTGTGTATGTATATATGTGCATGTATGTATGGCTGACTAACATGCTGGTACATGTCAGCATGAACAGCATACCGGGCTAACTATGGGAAGTCTTCTTTGCGCTTCGAAGCTGCCTGGAAGGGATCTGGCAGGTTGAAATCCTTCACCACGTCTGCCACCAAGGCATCCAACTGAGGGGAGGCACCCGGCCTGTCGGGTCCCCAAAACGCTTCGGCAATGCAGGTGGCGCTTAGGCTCTCACAACTCGGTTCTGCCAGGCGAGGTTCATAGGTACGAGCTGGCGTGAAACAAGCACTGCTTCCTATGCCTGCGACTATAACACGGGAATGCAGTTGGCGTTTAGGGTTTAGGGTTTATTTCAAGTTTATAGAACTTGTCTCACACTCAGCGCTGCCACGAAAGGATTCGCCACGGAGCCCGGAGAAAACACCCTGAACCCTTTTTTGCATCCGGGCTGTGACGTTCTGGCCGGAAAGGTGCCAAAGATGCAGCAAACCCTTGAACAAACACACTTTCTGTTGCTGGTCTGAGGTCTAGCCAGTACCCCTCAAGATCTTCATGAGGGCAAATCCAGGAAAATGCTTGGCTGATCTGCGCACAATCAAGCAAAGGCAGCAGGAGCCTACACAAGGGAAACACGCTAAATCTTAGACCTACATCTCCGGTCAATACCGCACACCGCAAACCAGGCTCAGCGACGAGGCATTGCTGGAAATGTGGCGCGGGGGGGGGGGGGGGGGGGTGGGTTTCGGGTTTCGACTCGGGGGCTCGCGCAGCGCAGGCACGGATTTCGTTTTTCGGGCTTGGGGTGCTCGACTCTTTTGGGTTCTGGAGTTTTTAGGGCTTTCGAGTTTGAGCCTTTCGGGTTTCGGGTTCGCGGCTTCGTGGTGAGAAAGACTTTAAAATAACACGGTGCAGCTAGCTTACTTGATTTCTTTGGGGATAAAGCACTTGGGGCTTAAGCCATTTCGACAAGGATGGCGAGTTCTATGCTTCTTCAATTATCTTTGTGACTGGGTCGGGCCTGATACTTCTCCAAAACCTGTCCGAAATCTTCGCCTATGACAGCAAGAAGGATGCTAACTCACTCACGTTAACTCTAGGTACCCGTAACGAAACCCGTGAACGAATCCCTAAACCCAAAACCCTAAACCCTAAACCCCTAAACCCTAAACCGCCTAAACCCTTATGGGATTCTCCAAGGGCCTGTGGGCACCCATTTCTCGCTCTCTTCCCGACCTGGCCTCCACTGCGCCACTTGT